ACACTTCCCCCAGAGTCTGTATCCTAACTCCAAACCCCTGCTAGCCCAGGGCCCAGCAGCCTGTCACGCTGTCAGCTCTGGTCTCATCTCTGCCATCAATATGAGTTAGACACATCAAATCCTCTACGACTCTCAAGGGCTTTTTTCCCTCGTTTTTTATTTGATGCATGAGGATCGTATAGCAGCAGCATCAGATAACCTCCTGTCTTCCTGAGAAATCTACAGACCTAAATTCAAGTGCATGCAGGCTTAAACTGAAGGTCATTCCACCTAGCCAGGCAGCCAAGGCACCATCTCTCTCCCCAGCACCCCAAATCTCTCAATGCATCCACAAACGGATCCCCATGATCACCTTGGGGCACAGGAAAAGGGAAGGAGGAGGACAGAAGAGCTCCAACTCCCAGAAAGCCACAGGCATATTCTGCAGGGAAACCTACTGAGGCAAGAAGGAAGGTCACCTGGGTGAGTCCTTCCAGGCCCACATGAGGAGATATTGATGGCAGCAAAGTCCCAGGCTGGTGGTGATGAGTTCTGGACAAAGGTATCCTGCTCCTCATCCTTCCTGGGGAAACGGATATGCAACTTTGAGTGGCCTTGGCTCAGCAAGGGCTCCATCTCGGGCAGTGGTCTTCAGCCTGTGGTCCCCAGACCTCAGAGGAGACCAAAGCAGTTCATGAGGACAAGCAAAGCTATGGTTGAGAAACAGCACTGGAAAAGAGGGGTGAGCCTCTCTAGTACTTCCTAGACACCCAAAGCAAAACCTCAGGTGAGAGCTGATCAGCTGGAGCTGCTGCTGTGATCAGGGCTCATGTACACTGCAGCCCAGACCACTTGCACACAACGAGATGGCATTTAAAAAGGCTTCACTCACAGAGCGTGAAATAAACAAACTAAATCAGTCAGGAGAAAGAATTTAAGTGGAAAAATAGCCCGATAATTGAGCCCTCTTTAGAAATGTTTTATCAGCAGCCAACCCCTAACCCCAGCCCCCCGACACAGCTGAGCAAAAAGATTGCTCCGTGGTTTTAGCTTTTAAACACAAACCACCAGGGACAGGAACAACAGCTCCACAGACCAACAGCTGGGAGAAAAGTAATGCCAACAGATCCAAGCAAAGCTAGCAGCTGTGGCAGTGTGGTCAGGGGAGCAGGAGAGGAACAACGAGGTGCAGCCATACTCACAAGGGTGCTGGGCACTGAGACTTAGCTGCCGTAAAGGACCATGTGCAGGTTCCCAGTCACCTGCGAGAGAAAGCTGCTCATGTTAAGAAGCCGTTCAGGGTGCTGGGTATGGGAGCGGAGTCTGAAGGACGGCACAGATCCCAGACATGTCAGCTGGGGGGAACCTTGCTGACACCACCGAGAAGGGAGGAGCATTCAGCAAGTGTTTCTGCAATAGGACAAAGCCAGACAACATGGGCAGAGGATGTGGGTGAAATGCTTGCTCTTCCACGGGAAGATATAATACATGGCCCACAGGTCCAGATAACATATATTTAACACACACTGAAGTTCTGTTTGGCACGCTGTCAGCATGTCACAGAGTGATCTCTGGCCAGCTGGAGATGCTAGAAAGTCCCAGGAGAGACAACAGCCTGTACCTGCCAATATTCAAATGGGTAAATAGCTGACTCGGGCAAGTACAGGCTGGTCAGGCAAAGGCCACGGGTTGGGAAATCCAAGGCCACCCACCTGCCAGAGCTCTCTGGATGCCAGCGTGGATGCAGAGAGATGCAGGCACACACACACCAGCTCGAGGACCTCATTACACTCAAGCCAGAATAAATGCTCCTTGAAAAGGCAGAAGGTTATGGGGAAATAACCAACCCAGAGCTGTCAGAAAGGATCCTCACTTAGAAAGAGCTTCGCAGAAGCTCTCCTTTGCACCCAAGAATTGGAACTGCTGGGTCTGATCAGCAGCTGTGCTGTGGGGCAGGAGTGTATGCCCCTAGAAAGCTGCCTGGCAGCTGGGAGAGGCACTGGCAGGAGCTATGCTTTCCAGGGACACTAAAAAACTCCAACCTATGCCTTAAATAACCCATGCTCAGAGCAACAAGCCAGCAGGCTCTCTTGGACTTCTCCAAAGGTGACTCTAGCCAGCAAGTTGGTGCTGCTGCCAGCCTGCCACCCCAGGGGAAGGACGCCCTCCTACCTGCCAGGGACAGGGGCACCATTTCCCCCCAATTTCTGAAAGCAGTAACTAAACCCAAGAAATCACGGAAATGCCATCCCCTGAGCCCCGAGAGAGCCAAGGGGATCAGGAGGCACCCTGCAACGACAGCCTGACCACAGCACCTCCTGCTCCATGCCAGCCCATCTCCCTACTGTTCCTAATGAAAGGAGGCTCTGACATCCTGTTTACTTTTTTAAATTATTATTATAAATTTTATTTTTAGTTTTCTCTCCCTCTGGAGCAGCAGCAGACTGGGACACCTGAAGCCCGGGCAGCTGAAAGCTGTCACCGCTACACCCGCACTGCTCAGGAAATGAGAGCCACAGGCAACGCTGGTAACTTCAGCACAGCACCGGCAAGATCAGAGGGAGCCAACGCTCCCCCTGCACGTCCACCAGCTCTCGGCCTCGAGGGCCCAACACCCCCAACTGCTAACCTCAGGGGATGCTGCAGGACA